CACAATGGAACTTGAAATAAGAACATAATGCACAGCAGGAAAGAGTTAATTCCAGGCTTAATGATGTTAAAGGCAGGCCTAACAGAGTTAAAGGTTTGGTTAGCATCCAGATAAAAAATTCCCACTGTGGCAAGCTGTTGGGAAAGGAAGAAAGTGCTTATGCACATGCCATCTGTAGTTATGGGAATGGCATCTTCACCCCATGGATACCCAGGACCTGGAGTGAATAAACAGAGTACTTACAGAAGAATGACTCAGGGATCAGCAGAATGCCACTTGTGGCGGTGATATATATTTACTTAACCTCCCTCTCACCCCCTTCCTATTTCTTTCTATGTCTCTATCTCACATTTACTGTTAAATAAAATTTGTACAGTTGACTTTGGCATATATTCTTGTTTGCACTTTAGTTTGTGCAGGGGCATCTCTTCTATTCAGATCATAACAGCAGTGCAGGAATCCAACAGCTTTTATCTAGACACTGAACAAAAATCCACAGCAGCACTGTAGGCTTCCTGGCATTGCCCTGTCAAAGACTTTTCTTCAGCTCCATTCTGAAAGAATCAGTGAGTGAGTTTGGTGTAGTTCAGCTGCTGCTTGTTCAAACCTCAGCCTCATTGCTGAAACTGCTAATCAGATAGTGTACTAGTCGCAGAGAGCCTAAATCTGCAGTGTTCTTCAATGTAGTCCAGCAAAAAGCTATCAAATAAAGCAAATGGTGGTGCTCCTTATTTGTTTAAATGTACTAAACCTGAAATAACTCTTAATCACCTTATCAGTTCCTTGGCTCCTGTGACAGCATCCCATGAAAAAGGCTGGCATATTATTATGCCAGAATTAAATTTGTCCTTCTTTTCTAGGGTCTCTGATAAGATAGAGGCTAGGATCTCTGATAAGATTTTGGTATCATCTTAATAAATGAAAGTAGAGTGAAAGTGGAAAAGATCATTGTGATGAAGAAGATAGTTTATAGAAACAGAAATGCCAAAAAATAATGCCTGCAGAAATATGTATGATGGTCATATGGAGAGTGTAAGCTACATAGCCACTTAGCAATGGATGAAAAGGTGTTATTTTCCTTCTGAGACTGAATTGTGTCTGAGCTACTTGAAATTCCACAATGTTACTTGGCTTATCCTCAAGGGTTTGATACCTATTTAACAATGGGTCTTCTAAACAGTTTCGAGCAATAAATATCCTCTGACAGTCATTGTAGGAGAATCAGAAATTTTAAGTTGGGTGCTGGATCATGGAGCTGGAAAGCAGCTGTGAACTGTTGTGACTGAGAAGTACCTCTGATCCATGACATGTAGCTCCCCACTAGCTGAGGCAATCCAAATAATATAATAACTTCTCTAAACATATCCAAGTCTATATGAAAGACATGATGTTTAGGTTCGGGGTTTTAATGTTTTTCCTATTTGTCTCATCAGGAGACCTGATGAATAAGTTCAGTTCTCTGAATTTAGATGATTCTATTAATTTCTCACCTGAAGTCAATTAAAATTAGAAATTGATGCTAAATAAAGTATCAGTATGGAAGCAAAGGCTGACTTTTGCATACCAGCAATATCATCCCATACTTGATGTCATGATAGTAATTTTTTACTCATCATAGTAATTTTCTAAGCATTAATTTTTGAAGTAGACTCTCCAAGCCTAATAACATAGGGATACCCCTTCAATCGGCCATGAACAAACCTACAAAAAATGGACGTCTCTGCAATTCTGTGGTCGAATTAGAAAAAAGTGCTAAAATTGACAATTATACAGAATAGTAGATAAAATTAGCATGCAAAAAGAGCAATAGGGTATAATGCAAGAGAGAAAACAAAATGCTTATGCAGTTGTGGGCATGAACTATACACATCCCAGCTAGTGGTTATACATCTGTGCTTTCATCTGTTTTTGCAGAGAACAGATAGAGTTCATATTTGTGCAGGGATTTAAAAAACATTTAGGGTAACATTGTTTTGCATGTTAATTGCTACTTTTGCCCACTGTTGTTTAAGTTTTACTGGGAAAAATAAGAGCAATGGATATTGCCAACATTGGATCTTTTTCAGAGTCAAATGATGGCCTTTGAAACCAGATGTTTTCATGCACTGATAAGCAATGCTTTTTTGTTAAAGATTGGTACATGGGCTCCTGACTCAAATAGCAATGAAGTATGCTATTGCTTTTGAGATGAAAATGCATAGTTAAATTTTTTTATCATCTTTATTTCCTAAGTGCTCAATCAGTTGTAAGTTGCCTTTTGTTTCTAAAACAGAAAGATTCTCTTCCAAAATAATTTTATGACTTAAAGAAACCATTTGTTAAATAAAAAAAAAAAAAAAAAAAAAAAACAAACCCCAAAAAATCGTGCCACTGATCATTATCTGCTTGTTAGCATATAGGGGCAAGTGTATATATATCACACAATTTTACTTTTTTAAATTTCAGGTGAAAGCAGTGCTTGGCTAGAGTTTCAATGCTCAGGACTATGACTCCCATTAAAAGAGAGCTTCCACTAGCTCCAGAGAAATTACTGGTTCTTCTATCCCAGAGATCTCTGTGTTTTCAGCAGTGATATGAGTGTTTGTCCGTGCCACAGCAATTTAGATCCTAATGTGTTTCTGCAAATTGCTAGGCTGCAAGCTGTGGCAACTTAGGAGCAGACATGATACATTCTAGGGGGACAACAATAGCTTTTAGAGGCAATAACAAAAAAGCTTCTCCACCATCAGAACTCAGAGAAAGTGAATTTGTTCACAGAGAGTATGAAATCTTACTGTCTTCTCTCTGGACTATGTCAGGATTTTATCTGGGAAAAATTGCACCTGAAATGCAGAAACCACTTAGGGAACAAGAATCAGATTTTTCAGGATGTCCATCACAGATTTCTAAGTATTGGAATAATGTAATGTTGGAGGATTTTTGTTGTTGTTGTTGTTGTTGCTGTTGTTAGTTTTGCTTGGTTTTGGGTTTGGTTTGAGTTCAGTTTTATGATTTTGTTGATCAATCAGTAAATTAATTGTCAATCAGAAAATTTTATCAGTAAATAAACTTCAAGATTTTGCATTACATTAAGATAAAACTGAAGACAAAATCTAATTAGACAAAAGTGAATTTCACTTGCCTATGGTACAGAATGGTTTATTTTCTTTGTTATTACATATCTACATTTGAAACAGAACTGATCATTGCTCAGATAAACAAGTATGTTCATGGGTTTATAAACTCTCAAATATGATTTGGAATTCCAGTAGTTTTCCAGAAATGTACGGAGAGTACCTTTCCCTAGCTTTCTCACATTGAAAAAAAATGATTCCATAATTATTTTTATTTAGTTTCAAGGTTACTTAGTATCAAGTCGTAAACAGTTTTAGGCCCATGCTTCTATAGAAGGCTATACAGCAGATACAGATGGTACCTGAGTATCAGGGGATGTAGAGGACCAGCCCTGCTAGAGTATATATTCAAATTCCCTGTTCAGGTAATGAAGAGAGGTAGCACTTCAGAAGGTTTTGTTCTAGAAGGAAAAGGTTGGATTGAATCCCAGTGTAAAAGTAAATTTTTTGTCTTGTAAATTCACATATTAATTATTAGATGTCCCTGAACAAATCTCTTTTTTACCAGCAGAGACATATGTGACCCTATATTTCTTTCTCAGGATGAGAGGAATCACACTTCCAAGGTGAGCCTTTGATCCAGAGGACTCAGTTGATCTGGCCACACTGAGGCTGGTGTCTCAGACCATCCTGGTGTAAATGTGTAGCCTTGGAATATGGCATTGCCTTGGCTAAAGTGGCCCTAATGGCTTTGAACGGAGTTGTCAATCCCTCCAGACTGGCACTTCTCAGACTGGTTATCTGAATGTTTCTTTACTTGCCTGCAGCTTTGTTTTGCTCACTTTAGCTGTGACAAGAGGGTTTTTTCCTGACTCACCTGATGACTATGGCAAATTGGGTTTACTTTCATTTATCTTTGCAAGAGACAACAGTTTTATATAGATAGCAGTAACAAGCAGTCATTCCATGCAGAATGAGATATTTATGACTCTAAGGCAATGTTGTAACACAGAGCAATAGAGGCTTAGTGCAAGAGCAGAGAAATGCAGACACAGTTTGTGGTGTAGAGGAAGCACAAACATGGGATGCCAAAGGACAGGGAACAGGGTTGCTACTGGAGACCCCATAGCCATAGACAACAGACCTGTGGTCTATGAAGAAATGTAGCTCTGGAGCAAGAAAAAACTGGTTTTATATGGGTAACAAAGAGAATCAAGAGGTAGCACCTAACATATGTAATGGCACCATATATATTAGATTCAGATGTAATCTGGAGCAACAGATGACTGAAGGAAGAGCAAAGGTATAAAAGCATGTTAGCAAACATAATGACAAAATCAGTCCTGAAGTGAGAAAGAATAAAGCATCAATGTAATATTCCTCCCTTTTAAGGGCCCCAGATGCTGCCCACCCAACATACCCCCTCTTCTGCAGTCTGAAATTGCCAGTTTTAAGACCCATATAAAGAGTGGAAGGCTGACTATAAAGTTATAAAAAAAGATAAAAACTATGACATTTCCTCTTTCCCGTATATTTAGATTACTGAAATGCTGAAATGTATCAGCAGGTTACATAATTCACACTTTTTCCTAAGAGTCACAGAGGTAAAGGTTCACAATATAAATCTTTATTTTCTAAATTAATTTTTTATTTGTTATGGTGTACATATAACCAGGAGAGAGCAGAGAAAAACAAATTGCTATTACCTGTAATTTTGTGATGCTTTTCTGAAAACAATCTTATTGCATTAAGTGTATCAATTCAATTTTGCATGTAGATAATACAAAGTTGGTTTACAGTTATATCCATGGAATTCAATAGCATTGCAAATGTCTAAAAGAAGGAGCTGGCCCGTGAACTAATTTCCACTCTGGTATTGTTCTGAAACTAAAAACAACATATTTTTTTATAGCTTGCTAAAGATATACATGACAAGCAACCTTTATGTTTTAGGATGATGTTGCTTTTTACCTTTGTGAAAGCCTGGCATTCTTTTTTTTTTTCATTTTTTGCTTTTTTTTTTTAGTTGATAAACTGTGTTTGTTGGTTTTTTGCAATACAGAGGGTGAAATACATGGGTTTCATGAACACCTCTGTCTGCCAAAAAGCAGGGATGTAAACAGACATGAAAAATATTTTTAACAGCCATCACAAAGGTGTTAGCTATACTTATAAATAAGGTGAACTGAAAGTAAACAGGAAAGCACATTCTATACAATTCCAATCCCCTAAAGACAGATACAAAAAGGAGAAATGACTCATGGTGAGCCACACTGATGTATGTGTTGAGCAGTACGTTTTTGCCCATGAGCAAAAGAGGTCTGTTATACACTTTCAAGTGTGGCATGAGTAAAATCAGACTTTACTATGATTTTTTTAATGGCCCTTTCCTGCTTTAGAAACTGAATTATGAATCTTCACACATTACACAGTTATGAAAACAACTTTGTAGTATTTTTAAATGTTATTTAACTGGGGTTTTTTGTTCCTAATGGGTCCACCTGCTATAAATATGTGGCTAAAATTCCAGGAGCACTATGGCCACACCATCCATTGTACCAGCAGCATTGTCTTTGAAGATGCAAGGTGAAATAGATCAAGGAGATCCTTTGAGTCAGAAATACCCTGGCCAGTTTCACTGCGTGATCCTGTAAACTCTTGTACCAGCTCAAATGGGAAAGAGAGTGACATTGAGAGGAGCAGGAAAATCAGAAAATGCTACAGAGAAAGACCTCCGTGTGACTTACATTCAGGAGACTTAACAATTGATTTGGACTGCCTGACAAACCTGGGGAGACTTGGCTGTGACACCTAAATTAGGCATGCACAGCAGGTGATCCAGGCACAGCCCTGTGTGCTGTGAGGGGTGATGAGATGGCATCGACCGAGTCCTCCCAGCCACAGAAGCTCAGCATGAGCTTCCTCCTCAATGTGAACTGGAAAAGAGCCTCATGGGCTACCTGCTTACTGTCTGCAGCATTTCACATTAAAAAGTAGTAAAATAAATTGAAGACAAAGTTCTTAACTGCCTGAAATGCAAATATTTTCTCCCAAAATTTGTTCATGTATGACCAGGAAGAAAGAATTAAGAGTTAAAACTTAATTAATTTTGCTGAGAATTTCAAGAAGAAAATCTGGATTTTTCTAGAGTCACTAGCTTTTTTAGTGTAACATAGATAAAAATAACTTTTATTTTAATTCCTATTATAATCAGTTGTGACCCAGAGCACATAGAAAAGCACACCATTTTCTAAATAAGATTAATGCTTACACAATTATTTCAGAGAAGAACTGAATATAAAAGAAAATAAATAGAGATGGCTTCAAATACATATTTTAATTCGTTATCCTGAGAAGATGATATGGAAATAATAAGGTTAATCTGAAATCTTCAATAGCTTAATATAAACCCTGTTATAATCTCAACAATATCATTATTTTAATAATATAAATATAAATATACAGGTACAGAGTAGTAAAGAAGTTATAAGCCTATCTATCTACAGAAAGAAATAAAAAGATAACCTTTTACATAGCTGTAATTATGCATCATCTTTTATTATTCATGAAAAGAACCATGATATTTGCTTTCTAAGGAAACAGGTGCTTCTTTTTCTCTTTCACCAGCTACACACAGGAAAGTTTTCACCTTGAAATGTTTATTTAAAGTGCTAGGACATTAGTTATGAGAATAAGTAGTCCAGTCAGTACCTTTTCCCCAGGAGATACAAGTACATTTAAAAACACAGGTACATCTTCAGAAAATAGAAATGGGAAGACAAGAATTATAGAATCATTTAGCCTGGAAGAAAACCTTGAGATCCTCGAGTTAACCCAGCACTGCCAAGTCTATCACTAAACCACGTCCCTAAGTGTCACATCTACATGTCTTTTAAATATCTCTGGGGATAGTGATCCCACCACCTCACTGGGCAGTCCATTCCAATGCATAGCAACCCTTTCTATGAAGAAATTCCTCCTGATACACAATCTAAACCTCTCTTGGCACAGCTTGAGGCTCTGTCCCCTCATTCTGTCGCTGGTTTCCTGGGAGGAGAGGCTGACCCCCACCTTTGTACAACCTCTTCTCTGGTATTTGTAGTGTGATAAGGTCTCCTCTGAGCCTCCTTTCCTCGAGGCTAAACAACCCCAGCTCCCTCAGACACTCCAGACCTGCCACCAGCTCCCTTGCACTTTTCCAAGCACACTATTGCACCTCAGTCTTTTTGATTGACCTTGGGCTTCCTGGAAATCCAGTAACAGACAATGATCTGAGAGCTGTACCCGGGGAGGCAGCAGGCTTCCCTAAAAAATGGGTGTGCTACATGTAGGACCTCTCTTAATCTTAGGGTAGAAGAGGAATGTCTTAATTTTATCAAACAAAAATATTATGGATTTCTGAGTTGTTGTATTTCTTTAGAATTATTTCTTTCCTGGAATTTTATTGTAAGTAACTTTGTAATTTTATTGTAAGACTGTTCACCAAGAAATTATTTCTTATGAGGCTCTCTTGTTTTATGGTTGCTATTTAAATAAAAAATGTACCAAGGCCAGGTACACAACTCTAATATTGCAATTTTACTGTGATCAGTCTTTGAGTGAGTGTCTGTCTTAGAAATAGCACTTTGAGTAAAGTATTCCGGTTTTAGACCATAACAGTTGTAATACATGAAAAGATTATTCAAAAGAAGGCAAAATAAAGCCAAAAGCTTATCTGTTCTGGGAAATAGAGAGAAAAATCCAACTGTTAAAAATGTCCCAATACAAACAAATGAAAGGAAACAGAGGAAACAAGAGTTACATGTCATTTCTGAGGTCATCTGAGGAGCTCAGAGGCAGCCCTGTGCAGCCTGTGTGACCTCATGCTGGGAAAAGCTTCTGCATGCCCAGGCAATTGACCCAGATTGACTCACATAAATACTTGTGATCAGTCCATCATTTTATGTGGATGGAAGTGGTTTTATACTCCATTACCACAATCTCCAGCTTAACAGGTTTTTTTTACTATTTCTCATCTTGACTTCTGTAAAGCATTATTTATGTTTCTGTACAGTTTTATTCCTCTTTCCATTGTTTTAACATAGCACAGCAACATCAGACCTTTTTGGTCTTTTTTTTTCCCCCCTGCCTTCCAAATGTGGAGTTATACAAAATTCTGCAGGTTTCCACATTTTCATGCAATGGTACCTCCATTGCAAGATGGCCTTGGGACAGATTGTCAAAGAGCCCTGGCTCCCTTCTCCTTGCTCTGACTTGTTTTGATGATTATACAATAGTTCTTTAAGAAACTGGAATATTTCTTCGTAGCATGGTAGATTTAATGAAAAAATCTTGATGCAGCCTGGCAGATGTATGACTCTGAGCAATTATGTGGAGTGTGCAGTGATGCCTAGAGATGGATGGAACAGGAGGGTGAATGAGGTCTCGTGGCAGAGTAGTGAGTGAGAAATCTCCAGACCTGACACTATTGTTCATATTGCTACTAGTTTGTTCATATGTGTCTGGGAAGGAGAAACCTAATTTTCCACTCCAAAAGGAATCTTTGAAGATATTCTGTGTAGGTACAGGGTTGAAGGTAATGGGAATAGGCCAAGAAAACCAAAAGAAAGGAGTATTACAGACTAGTAATTCACATATACCTGAGGAGGTCTTAGGAATTATGACTATCAGTATTTGAAAATGAGGCTTGTGTTTCCTAGATTCTATACAAAAAACTACGATTCCTGGACTATCTGTCTTTGTAAGGTCTTGAACAACACACAAAACTTAGGAATGGAAACAAAGTGCTTCAGGACATAAATAAAATTCTGAGTAATGAGTAATTGTGGATTTCTTTTCTGCATTTCTGTTTCTCCTTTTCAAAGCCTTATTCCATTTTCACTGAAGTGACTGATACTGGCCACTGTACAAAAAAAAAGTTGCTGAACTGGATTGATTACTAGTGTGAATTGACATTACAAAGGAAAAGAATGAATTCTCATTTTCTTTCCCCAAATTACCAATGTCATAATTTCAAGTAAACAAGACAAGTGATTTGAAAGATTGATTTGCAAAATCTGCAAAGGAAAAAAGAGGTCAACAAAATGTACACATGGGCACACATGCCTAATAATTATATTTATTTGGGAATAGAATTTTTCCTAGAAATGTTCACTTACTTTTCTAACTTTTATATCAGTTTACCTCTTTGTACTGCATGTTATACTGTGTGTGTTAATGACTAACATATACATTTGGGAATAAAAATATTTATGTATGTTTCTTTATATTAGTCTCATATAAGAGTAATATTTTTTGTCTAGAAAGAGTTCTAGTTATCATATGAATACATACAATATGAACAGGTGGATTTTTTTCCCCTTGCAAAATATTCTACAGGAGAAATAACTATGAAATATTTTAAAATATTTCCTAGTTAAAATTAAACAAGAATTAGTCATGGCAGAACAATCAAAATTTATAACAGAAATACATAATGTACCATTAGTACTGCAGCACACTTTTGCTTGCCTCTTCTTATGAAGCATAAGAACTTGAGCTGGGATTGTTGTGATTCAGGTTTGCATTCATGTGTCACCACTCCAACCAGGCTTCTTAGCTACCAGTAATATTGTGGAGGTTAGGTGTATGATTCTTGGGCCCACATGTGAATGTCTGAGTTAAGGATGTCTCACCTAGCTGCCAGCTGTCACTCCCCATGGCTCCCAATTAAAGAAGGCTCTGGAACATCTCAGAAGTCCTGCATCATATATGCCGGTCCCCTGAGGATGTCCTCAGATACTCCAAGAAATCTTAGGTGGTATCAGTCATTTCTTTTCGGGCAACTGAGTTGCTTTTTCAGGTATTGTATTTTGTATGAGCTGAAAAATGCACTGGGCTTCACTGACAGCATTGACAAAGTGCTGTGGTCACTTGCCCAGAGAAAGACCTGAGGCCATTCAGGACAGTAGTGGACACCAGGTGGGGTTTTTTGGGCAGCACAACAGACACTCATTGGTATTTTAGCAATTGAATCCAAGGACTACAGTTACAGCTTGAAAAGCACATATGTAAATATCTGTATGTTGACATACATGTTAAGATACCTTAACCTAACACTGAATCTTAACCTTGCTGTTACCCCTAGGTAAAATCTGCTATCATATACATATATAGTATCTAACATATAGATTTTTCTGAACTATGAAAAAAATTCTGAATTCAGAGGGACCCGGACAGACGGAAGAATTGGCTTGATAGGAATCTCAGAAAGTTCAAGAGCGAGAAATGCCAAATCATCCTCCTGGGGAGGAATAAACCCATACACCTGTACAGGTTGGTGCCTGCTGGTTGAAAAGCAGTTTTGCAGAGAAGGTACCTTTTGGTCCTAAGGGATACCAAGCTGAAAAAGAGCTCACACTGTGCCCTTGCAGCAAAGACAACCAACAGCCTTCTGGGCTGAATCAGGAAAAATATCATCAGGTTAAAGAAGGTGATTGATCCTTCCCCTCTGTTCTCCACTAATGGGACACATCTACAGTTTTAAGTTCAGGTCTGATCTCTCAGGGACCATGACAAGAGAGACATGGACACAGTGGATGGATTCTTGCAAAGGGCATGAAGATTTTTTAGGTATGGAAACAAAAATTGAGCAAGAAGTGGCTGAGATAGCTGGGTCTCTTTGGCCTGGAGAAGATGCAGAGAGGGACCTTTTGAAAATGTATAAATACCTGAGAAAGGGAGAAAAGAAGATGGAGCCAAACTCTTGTCCTTGGTGCCGTGACAGGTCTCAGTGGGAAAAATGGGCAAGGGGCACAAACTGAAATACAGCAGCTAAAAAATATCTGCTAGGAGTGTTGAAGCACTGGTACAGTTAGCACAGGGAATCAGTAAAGTCTCCCTCCTTGGAGACATTCCAATGTCAACTGAACTTGGTCTTAGGAAACTTGCAAGAAGTGAGTCTAGTATGAGCACAGGGTTGGTCTAGATGATCTCCAGAGACCGTTTCAAACTTGGCAATACTCTTTTTTTACAAATTGCTTTTAAGAGAAAGATTATCATAAACAACTTATTTTCAACATAAAATATTAAAAAAGAAAACACGACTTTTTATGACTAAAAAGTCATATGTGTTAAATATGTCATATGTGTTTTATGTGTTAAAAAAAAAAACATAGATAAAATAATACACAAACTCTTTGTTAATATTCAGGGCTAAGATCACTGGCTGATCTTATACAAGATACCATAAATATTGCTATATTCACCAGATCCCTTATTCCAGGCTTGTGAGTAGGGATAAAGAGATGACAATGAGATACATATATCAAGCCAGAAATAAGCAGTTACCAAAGAGTGAGAAGCAGTATTACCAAACTAATCAGCATAAATGTCACATAATCGGCCATTGCTGTACATCCTGCTCCAGTTGTGTCTAAAGTGCTGCCATCGTTGGTTTGATGGATTTGCTTTACGTCACTGAGGTTCGTCTTGTCTGGCATCCCTGCTGAGACAAATAAGAAAATTCAGTATGATGCATGCCTTCTCACTACTGGCAACATATTATAGCAAAAAAAATTTAAATATCCTCAGCGCACAGACTGTCTCAATTTGGTTTCTAATTCTCATGTTACTGCCAAATTCAAATGCTTTATAATTGCATCTAGAAATAAGCACTATACTATAGGGCTATTCATCGCTGAAAGCATTTCTGAGCTCTGCCAACTCTGAACAAAGTTGTTCTTGTAGAAATACATCTCAACAAACATTTACAGACTGAAATGAACAGTTTTGCAAGTCCCAGTAGTACCTGAAAGTCCACTGCTCACATCTTTCTTGGATTTGAAGAAAAAGGAAATAATTTAATGTGAAATTTCTTGTGTCTGGGTCTCAATATTATTGCAAAATAAAGTATAACTCATGGAAGTTATGCAGAAAAATATAGTTGTTGCTATATAAAACCTCCATTTTGGCACAATTTAAATAGACTTTACAATCATGTAAAGAAAAAGTTCTAAAGCTAACTTTAAACAGGAACCCTTTTACTGAGTTTCCAGCTGAATATTTGTACTTTTTTTTTTTTTTTTTTTTTACCAGGGTAAATATTTCTCCACCTCAAAACAGTACTCTTATGGAACAAGGATGTAATCACCCGTTATATTTCCTCTGCCTGACTAAACATGGGAAACAGAAAGTCTTAGAGACACACTGAAATTTGGTAGCATTGTCAGCTGCTTGTATCTGCTATGCATGCTTATAGACTAACCGCCTTATGCCATATAATAACTTGTGGCATGCCACTATCAATCAAAATTAACAAGTCTAAATTCAGTGTTATTACATACAACAAATATTGACATTGTAATTACACAGAGACTGAAAAAGGCTTCAAATAAAGCAAAGTCAATATTTATGTAATTAGGTCAATACATATATAATTCAGAAGGTAAACTCTACTGCTGGAACAGCAACATTAGAAAGAATCTCTCTACTGAGCTGATATATTGATTTTACAGTCTGAGTTTCTGCATCAGTATTCACTGTTTAGGTGCTCCTTTCCTTTCTGTATCATTAGGAAAGAGGAATAAACTTGTGAATCTTTTTTTTTTATTACTCAAAGTAACTATAACAAAGTATAAATATTTTAGTTGTGGCGTTATCTTTGTTAAGCTGGTTTAGCAGAAGCTGCAGAGGACAGTCATTCTTAAAAGGAACATTTTTGTTTTTGTATTTGCGTTAGAAGTATTCTTTTCTCTAAAAGCAGCTTGAAAGCTGCTTTTTGTGAACTTCTGCTCTATGTACTCATATATCCTTCCTGCAGCCTTGAAAAAAAGCATTAAGGGAAGACTCAGCTAAAGTCAAACATGCTGTCTGAAAAAAACCTGCTGGATGCTTTCTGAAAAAAACTGCTAGAATGAATTAATATTCTTTGCTGCTGTACTAAGCAGTGTACCCTGATATTTTGTGTGGATTTATCAATTCCATTCTCTTGTTGGAATTTGTGAAAATTAGCTGTATCAGTACAAAGCAAGTGGACACACAAGAAGGAAGAGTGACAGAACAGATGTACAGAAGGAAGGAATACAACTTTTCCTCATCATGTACTTTCAGTAACCGGTGTAGAAAAACATCAGTCAACCAATGCTTCACTGAAAGTATTTTGGGTGAATAATCACTATCAAGGTATATCATGGGGTTTTCTTTGGGGAAGGTTTTTAAGCAGAAAAAATGAAAAAAGTTTTCATAATTTTTCAGAGTTTTACTGAGGTCTTCTCATATTTAAAAAGACCAATTTCAGTAAGTGAAAAATTCAACTCTCACCTATGCAGCAAAGCAGTTCAGCAAGTGCTATAGGTGGAACAAAGTAGATTTTTCCAAGATTAACAGATACACTATAAGAGTAATGAAAGATTGGGCCTTATGCAGGACATAAATTATAAAAGCTAAATCATATAAAGATGAAAAATATTCTTTGATCTTGCAGTTGAAGAAATAACCAGCTTCCACTGAATATGTTTTGAATCTGAAGACAATGTGACTAGATAATAATGAATGACAGTCAGGTGTAACTTCTAGTGAAAATTTAATTTACAGTATTTCAAAAATAGAGTTTTCTTTTGATGGGAATTTATTTTTTTCTTTCCAGCCTCAAATGAAAACTGCAGACTTTGGAAGTTCCCATGAAAGCAGTGTTATAAAAAAAAGTTCAAACCTATCTATATGTTTTCCTTTGATCCATCAATATGCCATAAATCATTATGTATAATCCCTGATCTTAAATAAATGCACTGTTAGAACAGTAGTGTAATCATGCAGCAAACCTGTCACCTATTCAGCCCCATAAGTCTATGCCTCACTTTGACTTTATTGAAATAAGATGTCCAAAAAAAGTATAGATATTATCAGGTGAAAAAAATCACTGAAAAGAAAAACACTCCTTTAAAATAGCCTATTTGAACAGAGCTGTGCTATGTTGCTGGGGTTTTTTTAGCTCTAATAAGTAAAACTATAGATTTAATTCCTAAACCTAGGCTATCTTTTTAATTTAAATTAGTAGGTTTTGTTGTCCATTATGAATCAGGATTTAAACATATATGCCACCTTTCAAATATCATAATTTGTAAAAGAAGTGATCCTTCCCTGTAAATGAATTTAATTTTCATGGTTCACAGCATACTTGCAATGAGAGATATCCAATCATTTTTAGCAGAACAGACCAGAAATTAAGCAAACTTGTTTGGTTTTAGTCTCCTCACATGTCTGAAGCTGGAATTATGTTACAGAAAAGGCATTTAAGTTTCTCAAGTATCTCAAATTATCTCTGATAAATGCCTAGTTTAGTAATAAAATCATACTAGAACTAATATTTTCACTGGAAACATGGTGAAATTCAGAAGTCTCATCTGAGATTCAGGGTTTTTTTTTTTTCTGATGAATTTATAATTTCAGCAGAGGAGAAGATAAATAGCTTGGGAATCAAAATCCAAATACCATGTTTGCACAAGCCTACATAAAACAAAGCCAACAAGTATCACAGTTGTGTCCCCAGCATCAGCTCTGAAACTGTGTAAATAGCTGCAATTGAAAAGATTGTCCTGCTCTGGTTTAGAGAAAATCAGCAAAAGAATTTCCACAAACATTGTGATTAATATTACAGCATCAGAACACAAGTTCAATGTTTGGCAGAGAAAAATTTCATCTGTTTGCTGTGTTGTTTAAACAGTTCAGTTTGTGTCAGAAATGTTAAATAAATGTGAGCACCACCCCAAATGCAGCATAAAGTGACATTATGCTGATGCTGAAGTGATAAGCTTTAGAAGATTGTAAGATTTGGAAAGAGCAAATAATTCCACTTAGTTATTGGTATCTGTAGAGTCTGCACTTACACATTGGTTAATTTGGTTAAACAGCTACCTACAAGCATTTTAGGTATAGGAAAGAGAGGTATCCCATTTGGCACACAGCCTGATTTTTATAAAACACTTTAAGGATGTCTTGGACATCTTAGAGCATCTCCAGTGACTTTTGACCCTTCTAGGCAGACAACTGAATCAAAGTTAGTTACAGCAGCTTGCATTACAGTGAACATAGAGAAATAAGGAAATGCAGAAGAAGATGGTGGAATACTCAGATGTACATATTTGGTCTGAATTTGAAGAGACAAACCCTACACTTAGTTATATCACAGGGTCAACACTGAGTGATCAGGGAGTGTTTCCCAATATATCCCCTACCATCAACCTTTATTTCTTTGATGGAAAACTAAACTAAATATTGAATCAAGTAGCTGTGGCAAATAGATTACATTTTAGAATGCAATTTAGGTAGGGAAATAAATAATAAATAATAAATAATAAATAATAAATAATAAATAATAAATAATAAATAATAAATAATAAATACATTTTAAAAAGGTGAAATATTGATCAAGTTCGTATTCTTTCACCTGTAGTAGTATACTTTCACTTTTATGCCTAAACCTTTGTTTTTAATCAATTTTGGTTTTAGCACCTGGTGTTGAAGGGCAGGATCAAGGGCTTCATATTGCCATGAAAGTAGCCAATATCTGATGTGTGCAAACATTTATGAGAAGCCAGTACTTCATGAAAGTGTTTCCTGTTAAAGCACAGAAAGTGTCACTGCAGCTACATTTACATAGTTAAATATGTGTCCCAGAAGGAGATCCTTCAGGCAAGGTAATGTTGAGTGGCTCATGCCTGCTGTGCTCAGGGACAGCAATACCTAGAAGAAACTGCTAAACAAACCTCCTCTAGAAGGTACAATGCCTTGGATGTCTTTTAAGCCACACACAGTGATCTCCCAGGCTCAGGGATCCAGTTATCATTTTGTTTGCTTGTTTTAGTTCAAAGTATCCGAAATAAATATGAGGGCTCTGCTGCAACCCACCAGGTGGTGTTTTTATAACATGAAACTGAAAGATTACAAACTCTGGGATATGATATCCAGGCAAGGGAAAGTGTTTGAAAATAAAAAGCCTGCTGTTGAGGGACTCTGCAGCACAGAGAAACCCAAGCCTTCAGCCGTCTGGTTTGTGTTGCCTTTTGGAAGCAGTCCTTGGAATGAATTATCCACAGAACTTGGAGTTTACTTTGGAGTGACCAAGATAATTTTCCTCAATGCTCAGCCATGGAGTGTGATGCCTTATGAAGGCTGACCTGGAACAGAGACTAGACAGAGCTAAAGAATAAAGTAGGTATTTATTAGGAGGCCTCAATGGATCCACCTTGGGCAGCACAAGAGTCCAGCCAGGGCTACAGCCCAGGTGAACCCATAAATGGTCACAAGATGGATGACTGGTCACAGGGGTCTCACACTTTTATAAGTTCTGGTCCATTAGCACAATGGAGTTAATTGTCTAATTACAGCTCCAGCCCATGAAGTCCCATCCCTCTTGTCCTTCTCTCTTCATTCTGCCGTTGTTTATGCTCTTGGGCTGAGATTTGGATCATTTGTCCTTGGTCCCCAGCTAGAGGAGGAATTTTT